TCTGCAAGTATAGCAGATAAGTGCAGAGTAAAATGTTCAATTCTTCCATTTATTGCTAAGTAGATGCCATTTTTTTGAAGTAGTGGACTTAATAAATATTCAAAAGAACGCTGTTCTAGCTTTCGTTGCATCTGTCTAAATATTGTGGACCCTTTTAATTTATTATCACGAGTAATTAAATGTGGAAGAAAACCAACTAAAACTTTGGCATCAGGAGAATTCCGACGCCAGTTTGGAATATTACCCAGAGTTAAAAAGATTGGATATTCCGATTGTCTTCCTAAAGAATCAAGTGTTGTGCCATCAATATAGATCATGATCGCTAAAATCTTACTAAATGGATTCTGTCTTTCACGCCACCAATTTGCACTATTCTGCTCAGAGTAAACACGAACTAAATTTCCATTCTTAAATAAAATACAAATATTAGTAAATAGGATTATAATTTATTGTATTATTGGTTTTTTATAATTTCTACTTACATCATCATGTTCCCACTGTTCTTTATAATCAAAAAGGAAATTTTTACTTAAGTCGGGATTAGATACAAGACTTTTAATAGCATCAATAATTGGTCGATATTGAAGTTTGTAAATTTTTCCTTCAAACTCAACCATATCTTTCATTTTTATATTAAAATCTTTAATATCCATTTGATCCATATACATTCTACCTTTTCGAGTGGAGCCAGGAAGAGGTTCGGTACAATATTTTCGAATTATGCGTAACATAGAATCAGCAGCTGCATCTGAAAGACGATGTTGTGTGACAGCTGTCATGAACTCTTTATATACTTCGCTCGGCCATAATGTCTCGATTACATCAATTTTATTATTACATAAGTCTTCATATGCATCGTTTAAACCCACTCTATAAAAATCTTCATTTTCATTATTATTTATCCATTTGAATCTCTCATCATCATCACTATCAACTTCATTACCTTTCATACTTTTATTAATTCTATTATTTCCATTATTTTCAACATTAGTATCGGTTCCACTGTCAGTTTCATTATCAACGTTTTCATTCGATCCACCATCAACGTTTTCGTTCGATCTGCCATCAACGTTTTTTTTCGTCTGATCCATCATCATTGTTTTCGTTCGATCTATCATCCATTCTTTTTGATCTGTCATCACACATCCCTTCTGATTTATCGCTATTATCATCAACTTCTCTTTTATCATAATCTCGGTTTATCTTAAATAAAAAATAGTAATTAGAAGTTGTCGAATTCGTTAATAATCATAAAAAATAATACCTACCTTAGCTTGTAAAAAATCACCCAAATCCCCGATTTCATTCCAAATATTATTACTAATAGAAAATTGTGGTGTTTGCGGTACAGAGTTCAACTGTTGTTGGTTTTGGATCCAATTCGATGTATATGAATGTTTAAGGTATGGATGAAGCTGATTATAATGTTGTGCTAGGTCAGCTTTTCGTGAAAAACGTCTCTCACAAAGACTACATTGATTCATTTTTAATTAGAAATCAATACGAGGTTTGATTAGATATTAGACGGGATACGATAATTATTACAATTAAAAATGTAATACGATATTATTACAATTAAAAATGTAATACGATATTATTACAATTAAAAATGTAATACAATATTATTACAATTTAAAATGTAAGACGTCACTATGATAAAATAGTATAAAAAAATTCATATGTAAGACGTCATTATAAATAGTATATCATAATTATACTATTTTCCAAAAAAAAAAATTTTAATCCGGAAAAAATTTTAACCGAAAAAAAACTTACCCACGCAATAATTTCTTTATGGCTAAAGATAAAGGTTGGTATTGTTTTCCGCCATGCCAAAGAGAATGATTCCTACTTGCCAAAGGGCAAACTCCGTGACCAACTGTAGAGGGTACACAAGGGACCCTTCTCTTGCCACTTTTTTAAATAACTAAAATGATTCCAGCCCATCTGACGCCTGAGGATTTTAAGTGATTTTAAAATAAGAGAATAAGAGGGGAAACGTGGGAAGCCTTTTTTTCTTATAAAAAATTCTATTCGTAATTATATAGTAAGACGAAAAGCTTTAACTACCAAGCAAAGCCAAAATTCTCAAGAACCTAAGAATGTGGCTAATACTGAAATAGTAGTAAGCGAAGCAGATAAAATTGCAGCAAAATTATCTGCTGGTAAATCTATATATTAATATTATTTATATATATATAATTTAAACACTTAATAAATTAATTTTTTCATTATATAGCAAAATCTACAAAGGCTTCGTTAAAACAACCAAGACGATCAAGACAAAAAAATAAGAAGACCGATCATCAAACACAAGAAGTGATTATTATTGAACCAAATAATACTCTTGAGATATGTGATACACAAGATCAACATGACTCAATCGATAATTCTGATAAAGCTGCATTTACAGCTCTTTCCAATGCTGCATCAGATACATCCGTTATACGATCATCGGATGCATCAGATGGTATAAAAATATTTGTATTTATTGTAACCTTACCTCATGAAATTAATATATTATCATTACAGCAAACATCATATTTTACCAACAGCTGATTGATGGATTGAAAAGATCTTTAGAACAAAACAAGGAGATATTTAAAGCAATTCACGAGACTAAAGTGATGCATGAGTCGTTTCAAAAAGAAGTTCAGAAAAAAATAGATGATATTTCAGAAAAAATCGATCAACTTATGATTCCTAATGATTCTTATTGGAAGGTAAGTTTATTAATTATTATCGTTATGTGAATTTATTTATATGAAATTATTTATGTTATTACTTTATTGTAGAATTTAGCATCAAGAATATGTAAGATTCAGCTGCCTCTTCTTGGGTTATTCCCTGATGACATAGAGTTTAAAAAGTGTGTTGAAGGAACACTTGAACAAGAAAAGCCAGGATACGTTGAACGACATGGACCTCAATGGATACATATCTATTCTGGGCGTATTGGACCTTTAGTAAGTTATAAGTTTCTTTGTTTATTTTTATTTATTGTTATTTAATTATTATATTATTTACTAATATATGTTTTATTAGTGTCATGAAGTAATTAAAGCTCGTCGATGTGATAAGGCTAAGGACGTTAGATCTGCGATGTTTGATATATTTGGCGAAAAGAATTTAACACGTATTAACACTTCAGCGGGGGTTGATGATATTCGCGCATTTAAAAATTCTAAAAAGACAAAGCAAGCATTTAAATGTTTATTTAAAGCTGATGATGATAATAACCTTCCATACGTTGAGGCAATTAAGAAAAAGGCCTGGGGAAAAAAGAATACAACAAAAAAAGATACTGCTTTCACTTTGGCCGTTTGTGAAATTGTACTTAATCCAAAACACCCAAAAATTTCTGTTAGTGACAATGCTCTTCATAATCGTTTTAATATATATTGGGTGGGTTTAATTTTTTATTTTTGAATTTTTTTAATTATTATTTACTTAAATATCAAATAATAGAGCTGTATTTGTAATTTGGAAGAAATAACTTCAAGTACAACTAAATCCATTAGACAAGAAGAGTTAGGAGAAAATTATCTTAATACTTCTGAAGAATCAGATAGTAACGAAAGTTCAGGTGATAATTTGGATAATAATGAAGATTCAGACAATTCTAATGAAGATAACGATGATATGATAAATGAAAACCAAAAAAGGAGTCATGAAATTAATAATATTGACAATCAAAATCATAAATATCAACGAATTGATAACAATTCTTTAGAAACTAGCTTTAATTAGATATTTGGATAATAAAATTAGAAGAGTTCAATTAATTATAAGCTATAGCATTAATATTATGTAGATTTTAAATGATAATGTAATTAAATTTATAATAAATGATACATTAAAATAAATCATTAAAATATAATATAAAATAAGTCCTTAAGAATTCTTTATTGGTAATTATAAAACCCTTAAGGTTTTCTAAAATTATTTTCATTATGGAATCCTCGTGGGTGGGGAAGATTTCTTAAGGATCCTCATTAATTATGAGATTTTCAGAATCTTTGAGGATCCGTACCCTAAAAAAATTACTGATGCACCTCACCATCGGTTGGCATCATTTCAGCTCCCCCTAATTAGAGTACGGGATCTTCAATGCAGTTGGTGGCTGTGCACACAGTAATATTCATAGCAAGGATCGATGGCTGGACGATCTGAACCTGCGTCCTATTGATTGGTCAGATCAATAGTGTAGACGCCTTAGGCCATTACACTAGAGACGCCAATCTCTATTACATTTAAGGTTGCTTGCTGAAACCTAGGGGTTTAGGCAAGATGGCGTTTCGCCGAAAAGCGAAATTCTGCCAAAACTATATTAAAGTTATATTAAAAAACTGGCAAAACTTTGGAGAAAGACGAAACTGCCGAAACTTATTATAAATGCCAAAACTGCTGAAACTCTGCCGAAACTATAATAAATCTATAGTAAAATTTTGACGAAACTAATCGTAGGATTTTGAAGAGGTTTAGACAAGCAACCTTAATTACATTATAATACTTTCTATTTAAACAAACTCATTGGTCCTAGTATGAAGCAACAGGTGACTGCTAGTAATTAAAAAAAACAATACAATTCATTCTGCTTTAGAATTATTTTTTTTTAAGAAAAAAAAATGTCATCAGCAGTATCTGTATTATGTCAAATCAAAAGGATTAGATGGTGGATTTATCAATGGTTTGGCAAACTATATGATTTCACTATTTTATAAATACACAATTTGACATTTCTTAATACAATGTATAGTTACTTTGCAGAAACCTGTGATTTGTTACCATGCAGTTAAGAAATCGCCATCAAATCACAATGATCTATTAACCAACATGTGATGACGTGGTATCAAACGATCTTGTGAAATTATCGATAAAATATTTTTACAAAGTTGTAAAATTCTATTAAATAGGTGGTGAATAGATGGTGAATAGATGGTAATTGTCATCAAAATTTAGCTGAAAAAATCAATTCAAGATAATTTTTCGATGCATTAAATATTACTTGACGATGAATCTCAATTTTAATTTTTTTTTTTTTATATAATCAATTTAACCTTTATAAAAATTCGGCCTATATTTGGCCAAAATTAATTATTTGACCTAAATTAGTAATGATCTACTATTTCGATCTTGGTAAAAATTTTCATGTGAATCATTACGTTTTTGAACAATGGCAAATTTAAACTTTTTTTTACCTTTTTTTAGAACTCTTTTATCCCTTCCCTTTCGTACTTCCCTTCCCTTTCACTCTCCCCTTCCTTTTCTACCTTTTTCTCATACCTTTTTTCTGCCTTTTTTTAGATTTTTTTATCCTCTTCCCTTTCGTTCTTCCCTTTCCCTTTCGTTTTCCCCTTCCTTTTCTACCCTTTTCTCACACCTTTTTTTCGCCTTTTTTACACTCTTTTAACCCCTTCCCTTTCGTACTTCCCCTTCCTTCCCTTTCATTTTTCCTTTCCCTTTCATTCTCCCCTTCTTTTTCTACCTTTTTCTCACACCTTTTTTTTGCCTTTTTTACACTTTTTTAACCCTTTCCTTTCGTACTTCCCTTCCCTTTCATTTTTTCCTTTCCCTTTCGTTCTCCCTTCCTTTTTTACCTTTTTTTCACACCTTTTTTACTAGTCGAAATAAGGCAAATCGGCTAAAAATCGGATATCTGATTTTAGGTCAAATTACGGCTGAAATATGTCCGATTTTTACAAAAAAAATATATTCCGATTGTTATCCAATTGACTGCCAATCAGATGTACTTCAAAACTTAAATTGGACATAAATCAGAACTAAATTATACTAAATTCGAACAGTCAATCAGATGTACTTCGAAACTTAAATCAGACATAAATCAGAACTAAATCATACTAAATTCGGACAGTCAATCAGATGTACTTTGAAACTTAAATCGGACATAAATCAGAACTAAATCATACTAAATTCAGAAAATTATTATATATAGAAAATTCGATTTAAATTTATTATCGTTATATATTAATTAATACATGAAAAAAAAAATTTAAAATAAATGTACTGTAATCGATAGTCCAGCTTCATTCAGCTAAATCATCACTGGCTGCACTTTTTTGACTATCGATTAACACCTCTTCCGTTTCTTCACCATAGTCTTCATCTTCGTCGAAACCACTTCTATCGATTTCTGTATCATATATAAAATCCTCTTGCTTGACATATGACCATTGTGGAGCATCTTCAGGGTGTATTCGGTCAAAGTGTTGAACTTCATCATCATACTGGCGAGGTCGTTGTAATTTTGCCATTTGAATATCTGCCGAATGTGAGTTGATGACGTTTCAAAGTAAATTTTTTAGCTAAAAAAGACAATATAAATAAAATAAATACAAAATAAAGAAAGGAATGAGAGTGATATATCGAAGTATAAATATCAAAGTATGTATAAATATCAAAGTATAAATATCGAAGTATAATAAATATCGAAGTATAAACCTCTTGTGATCGTCAAGAATAATCATAGACACATATGATCGTCTTATCTGGATTCTCTTCATCTGACTCACTGATTTCCAGCGAGTGGTAAGATCGATTTGCCAACATTTTTAATAATTGGTGTTTTTCATAACCAATTATTCTTTCATCACTTTTCCTATAAAGATCCTTTGCAGCCTTAATTCGACGCAATTTTTTCTTAAATGATAAATATATAAGAAAATTAGCATAAATCATTAAAATGATGATAAAGGAAAAAATTCGACAATTTTACATTTTGTACGCGACTGTTGTTGTGAACTCTGCGACTGTCCTCGTCGCTTTTTCCACTTTTTTTCAGTTGTGTTTGTGATCTTAACGACTTATAGAGGGCGCTAAACCAGTTAGTCAATTGTGCTACTGAAGGTTTATAATTCGGAAACATCGCCCTTCGAAGTTCGGGAATTAATCTACTGCGAATTTCAACATTTTTTGGACTATTAAACATTTCATTATCATCCAAATTGTCATTAGGTTTAATAGTTTTGAGGATCATTTTCATTTCAATCTTTAAATAGGAACAATTAGTATAAAAGTATAAAGACTGTACAATTCTGCCTAAAATTACAAAATTACAAACCCTCGCCTCCTTTTCACGTTGTTCTTCTTGTTCTTCTTTTGGTTGATTTTTGGCGTAGTGTACC